TATATATTAGAAGAAATTCGTTCCTGACCACTTCTGTAAAGCAGCAGGGTTGTTAATTTGGTGTAAAGGGATGAGTTTGGCAGGGGGATTGAGGAGTTTGGAATGACCTCTGAAAGGAATGGTAGAAGGACTTGCCTAAGCATTCTGGGCCTTCGGATCCTCATCTCTAAAACAAAAAGATTAATTGCTGCTTTGAGATATCCCAGTGTTGTTTGAACACCAAAGGAAGCAGGGAGATACAAAGACTTAAACATTAATACTATAACAATGAAACCTAGACGGTAAGGAGTCATGCTGCCAACCTAAAGGCAAGTGGTTCAAGTCCACTAGCTGCTCCTTGGGAGAAAGATGGTCATTCTCCCATATGATTTACAGCCTTTGAAAACTTGTATATAGGGTTAGCTATGAGTTGGTTCCTACTTGATGGCAATGAGCTTTCTAAAATAAGCCGACAAAATGTTGTTTGTGTGTTAGAAAAACTCTTTAGTTTTTTTTAAGAGCAGATTTTTAAAAGTGATTCAAAAAGAAAAGGTATGGGAGGAAAACTGTGATTTGGTTCCTTTCATTCATTTTCTTTTTATTTTGTTTTTTAACACTTAGTTTAGTTTTGGGAAAGGAGTTGGGGTTTCTCTCTCTCTCTCTATATATATATATATATTTTTTTTTAATTTTATTATTTTTGTGTGCGTGTACTGTCAAATTAGATCTGACTGGTACAGGAGGAGATTGTCCCTCCTTCCCCGGCAGAGCATCTGGTGGATTCGAACTGTTCGCCTCTGGGATTGTAGTTGCAGCTCCTTGCCACTAGGCCACCAGAGCTCCCCCCCTGTATATATTTTTTAAGTTTATTTTTCTTTATTAATTTTAATGAAAGTTTACAAAGATTTTGAGTTTCCAGTCATTTACTGTTGCACTTTTCTCCCTGCCCACCCTCTTGCCCCCAATTCACTCTTCTTGAAAAGTAAAACTCTCATTGTTATGCAATCCCTCCCTCCCAAGTCTACTCCACTATGCAGCCTTCATTCTGGACTTCTGTAATGACAATAATACCCAATCATATATCCTTTGAAACAAATGAGGGAGAGAACTGTTTAAAACACTTAGTTTCGTTTTAAAGGAGCCTCAGTGGCTCAGTGGTCAAGCACTCAAACTGTTAACAGAAAGCTTGATGTCACTGTGGGAGAAAGACCTAACAATCTGTTCCTGTAGAGAATACAGCTCACAGAGCCCTATGATGCAGTTCTCCTCTGTTACATGGAAGTCCTTATGAGTTTAAAATCAACCTTAGGGCAGCTCATCAAGGGCACAACAGAAGGCTTATCCTATGCAAAATGAGGCTATTAATAGCATCTAGGCTGTTTTGAGGATTGAATAAAATAACTGTCTAAGACACTTAGCACAGGATGGGATTAGGTTTGTGGGAGTCATTGAGATTGATTCAGGATAGGTCAGGGTTCAGAGCTGTTGTACGTAGGGTCACAACTGTTTTTTTAAAAATTACATTAAAGTTGTCTGGGAGACAGGAGACTTGCTTTTAGCCCTTTCTCTACTTGATGAAAGGTAGAAAAATAGCAGTGTTTGTTGTCTTTTCACCTCTTCCCAACCCAAGGAGGTCTGGTGGTGGTCTATATGGAGTTGCACTACTAAACTAAAGGCCATGCCCCTTTGGTGGTTTGACTCCACCTGTAACTTCAAGCGAGAAGGATGGCAGTCTCCTCTATTGTGATATACATTTTTTTACAGCCTACAGGTATCCAGTGGTGGGCCGACTATGAGTTAGTTCTGATTCAGTGGCTGTTATTGTTATGTGCCGTCAAGTCACTTGCAACTCATAGCAACCCTATGTACAATAACTCTGAATTCTGCCGTATTCTGAGCCAAGATTATTGTCTCTGACACACTTACTCATAGAGGAAGAAGAAGAGACCAAGATGGATGTCAGACGAGACTCTGAATATTGCACCAGAGTACCAAGAAGCCAAAGCAAACGGAAGAAATAAAAAAATTAAGAAGCTGAAGAGATTTCAAAGGGCAGCTTGGGAAGACAAAGCAAATTATTATAGTGAAATGTGCAAAGAGCTAGGGTTGGAAAATCAAAAGGGCGAAACTCGCTTGATATTTCTTAAGCTGTAGGTACTGAAAGAACAAATTCAAGCGTCAAGTTGCAGTACTTAAGGATGCTTTGGGCAGAATATTAAATGATCCAGGAAGCACTAAAAGAAGATGGAAGGAGTATACAGAGTCTCTGTACCAAAAGGACTTGGCTGACTCAGAAGAATTTCATGAAACAACATATGAGCAAGAGCCTGTGGTGATGAAGAAGTTCAAGCTGCTCTGAAGGAACTGGCAAAAAACAAGGCTCCAGTAACTGATGGCATACCAATTAACATATTTCAACAGATACTGCCCTGGACATGCTCACAAGTTGTGGCAAGAAATCTGGAGGACAACAACCAGGCCAACTGACTGGAAGAAACCCATATTTGTTCCCATTCCAAAGGTGATCCAACAATGCAGAAATTACTGAACAACATCATTAATATCACATGCAAATAAGATTCTGCTGAAAATTATCCAAAAACAACTGGACCAGCACATCAACAGAGAACTGCCAGATGTGCAGGCTGGG